TAGCATTTGTGACAGCATGGATAGACCTAGAGGATATTATGCTGAGTGAAGTCAGAGAAAGATAAATACCACATGATTTCACTTATATGTGGAATCTAAAGAGCAAGATAAACAAATAAAATAGAAACAGACTTATAGACACAGAGAGCAAATTAATGGTTGACAGAGGGGAGGGGGTTGGGAGATGGAATGAAAAAGGTGAAGGGATTAAGAAGTACAAATTGGTTGTCAGTAGTCATGGGTATGTAAAGTCCAGCATAGGGAATATAGTCGATAATGTTGTAATAACTATGTATGGTGCCAGGTGGATACTTGAATTATAGGGGATCACTTTGTAAAATATATGACTGTCTAACCACTACGCTGTACACCTGAAACTAATACAATATAATATTGAATGTGAACTGCAATTGAGAAGTAAAATAAAAAAGAATTTTTCTTGCAATTTAGGCCTCTTACCACTATGTGGCAGCAAAGAAGTACTGCTTATACGCAGTCATGGTGAACCTTTTGAGCTCCGTGTGTCAGCATTTTGAAAAACCCTAACTTAACTCTGGTGCTGTGTCACATATAGAAATTTTTTGATATTTGCAACCATAGTAAAATAAAGACTTATATTTTTGATATTTATTTTATATATGTAAATGCCATTTAACAAAGAAAAATCAACCAAAAAAATGAGTTCGCGAAAACCGACTTGTGGGCATGGGCCACGAAGTTTCAATAGCACTGTACGTGCGTGCCTGCACGTGGGTATTTTGTGGAAGAGCCACACTCAAGGGGCCAAAGAGCCACATGTGGCTTGCGAGCCGCAGTTTGCCAACCACTGGAAGGGTCTGTGTTTTTCTCTGATTGCTGATTTCTCTCAGGTGAAGGAGTTTAGATTCTGGTTTAGATGCTGTGCTGAGATCATTTTACATGCCTTCTGGTGCTCGTAACAAGGGAGGCGCTTCAGTTTTTCCCCTGGTTCTCTGATCTGATCGCTCTGCCAGGGCATTTGGGGGTGGGGAGGATTGATGTCTCAGATTCTTAAATTCCTTTTCAGATTGTTTTAAATTTGATGTCTTGTAACCCATATTTCATGTCTTCTTTGGGGATATTTTCTAGGTTTATGTGTTTTCCTTCAACTTCTTACTATGAGGAACCAGCAAGGGGTGGTGATTCTAGATTCTAGGTCCAGTGTCCTTACTAATTGCCTTGGGATCTGGGGCACGTCATTTAACCTCTGGAGGCTTAAGACTTCCCTCCTGCAAAATGCGGAGATCTGGTTAGATGCCCTGCAAATTCTTTTTTCAGCAGCTAAATAAAAGAAATCTGCGAAGTATATATTACTCTGTTTTTTTTCTTTTGATAGGGAGCTAATTGCAGACAGTGCTCATCTGGTGTTTTGCTTAATTTGCACACAATGATTAATTTACCCACAAGCTTAGCCTGTATCCCTTGGCAACACTTAGCAACTGCCTGCTTTCAGAAAGTGGTTTCATTAGCTTGTTTAAAGGGACATTATCCCATATATCAGAGCAGAGAAATTAGGATAAAGTTGCTTTCATTTGGGAGCATATCTCCTGACTTTGCGATTATTTTTCTTTCAATGTTTTACATTACTCCGTCCTAGGTTTTCGCCCACTTGCATCGCTCTCATGAACCCTCCCAGAGGTTTATTCCTGTTAGCTTTCTTAGGAATTACTTAGTGAGCCCTTACTCTGTTCCTGACATGATCCTAAACTCCTGCCATATCTCTCCTTTCACTCTTCACAGCTCTTGTAAGTCAGGGGTGGAGTCTCCTCCCCAGCCTTGGGAAACACTTGGGGTCACAGGCTAGTCCAGCAGTTCTCAACCCGTGGGTCGCGACCTCTTTGCTGGTCAAACGACCCTTTCACAGGGGTCGCCTAAGACCATCCTGCATGTCAGATATTTACATGACGATTCATAACAGTAGCAACATTACAGTTATGAAGTAGCCACGAAGATAATTTTATGGTTGGGTCACAACATGAGGAACTGTATTTAAAGGGCCAGGAGGTTGAGAACCACTGGAGTAGTCAGTGACCAGGGGCCAGTCTCGCTGCCTGTCACTCCCTGCACTCTTCTTTATCTCGCCAAAGGAAAGCACTACAGGCTTTAATTCATTTACACTATTGCAGTAGAGAAGAGGGTCCAGCATGAATGGAATTGAACTTTGATTGGCACTGAGGTGACTGCGTTTTCAAGGCAGGACTGGGGAGTAGGGAGGGGAGGAGCAGAGTCAGGGAAGAGACCGATCACGGAGGTTGGGCCCAGTAAATGCTGGGGAGGCCGCTGTGTCTGTGCTGGCGGTGGTACGGAGCCGGGAAGGCAGAGCCCGACCTGTCCTTCCTGCGGCTTACATTTAAGAAGAGGCTTGCAGGTCCTTCCTGAAGACCCCGCTAGTTATAGGAGATGCATCTTAAGGGACAGAGGGAAGATTCACAGTTGCAAGCCCTTTCTAGCAAATCCTCTAAGAACTGGTAGTCAGGGGCTGCTGGTGGGTGTTGGCGAGAACAAGCAGTGAATTCTTCTGGAGCCTTGAGCTTTCTCAGGGAGGCACTTGGGGATGGTGGTCCTTCCAGGATCAGGCCTTGAGCTGTTAGAAACTGTTAGTGTTGGTGTAAGTCTCTTAGTGTGGGGCCGAGGTGAGCGGACAGAATCATTTGTGTTGAGAGTCTGGGTTTTGTGGGCAAGGCTGAGGCCTGGTTGAGGAGAGGACTCAGAGGAGCTGGGCTGGAGCCTGGTCCACTGAGGATCTTTGTCACCTGTGTCTGCGGAGTTGAAGATTGCAAGTGCGTAGAGATCATTTCTGATTGTCTGCAGCCAGGTCCAGGAATGGATTTGGTGCCAAGCCATGAAAGCTCAGGTCTCCTTGTTCCGATGGAAATCAGGCCTCGCGTGGCTGACCTCTTCCTTCCCTCCTAGTTTACTGTTTCGCTCTTGTTTATACTCACGGCTTCTGTGCCCAGAGCCCAGTACCCGGGGGCTCCCGTCTCCCCACTCTCTTACCAGCTGCGGCAGAGCGGGGGAGTGTCATTCCTCAGGTAGCTTGGGTGGTCTTCTCTCTGTCTGTTCTGAGGGGCGGGCGGCTGGGTGGGAGCA